TTTTTTTTACTTCAAAATAAGATATGTGCAGTGTGCATAGGAATTTGTTCATAGTTTTTTTAAAAACTATAGTCCGGCCCTCCAACGGTCTGAGGGACAGTGAACTGGCCCCCTGTTTAAAAAGTTTGAGGACCCCTGGATTAGTCCATACTGCACCAAATCATTCATATATAACAGCACTGACCTAAATTACCACTTGGGCAGAAAAGTTAGGCAACATTGCTAGGTAACACCTGTGTCACGCTGGCTCAGGACGATGTCCATCTAGCAGTCTGTTCTTTTCCCATCTAACAAGCGTTCACAAGCAATGCATGAGGGAACTGTTTTCTCCTTACGACTGTCTCCACTGTGCAGATATTCTTGACCCACACGGTTTGCAGTGACTAACAAACCCAATATCTCCCCAGCTCCTTACCAACAGTGCACTAGTGATCAAAAGATCCAGGAGTAAGCCATTTCATGGGTAGGAATAAGCTATGATCTCTTAAATCAGCCGCCTAACTATCCACTTCAATGGATAATCAGTCCTGTGGGTTGAGTTCAAGGTCGGTTTTGGTCAGCAGAAAGGGGGAGCAAGTTTGGCCAATTCTCCCCTCTCACTCCCCTCAATTTGTCCCTTATACTGTTTCTGAGGGTCCTGGGCCCCCCCCCCAAAAGAATATAATTTCATAGAACTGAGCGGGTGGCAACTGGAGGCAGAAAAATTCCATTCTGCTGTAAGAGAGATTTCAGTTAGCAAAAACCAGACCTTGGATCCAAGCGTGTATCCTTAAGCAATATTTCTCTTCACTCCTTCCATGCTGTACATATCTATCAAGCTTCTTCCACATAACTTAAAAAAAAAAAACACCCTGAATTTATCCATCCTTTTAAAGTGAAATAATTTCTACTTCTTCTTTTTTTTTTGCTCAGTTGCCCTTCTTATGATCTTTTATGTTCTTTTCTGGGTGGAGAACCAGACTGGCACATTCCACTGAAAAGCATTTATGATGTCTGCTCTTTTATTTTAATTGACATCTAATTAAGTATCTGTCTCAACTTGTGTTTCTTCACCATAGGACTTAAGACTACATATATGACTATAACAGGGGGAAACTTCATAACCTGATTTAGAAACGTCTTCCCTTTTTTTAAAAAAGGTTTTGATTGAAAACCCAAACAGCCAAAGAGTTCTGTGTAACTCAAAAAACTACATCCATTATTTTAACACCAGTTGCTATAAAAGTGTTTCTGTGCTATAAGAACAGTATAGCTACTGGAATCTAGAGCACTTATTTTTCTTCCTTTTTGTCACCTCAAGGATGTCAAGAAGATGATTTATACCATTTTTCACTCCCACATCACTTACCTGATGTTTTTAGGGAGCCTTTTTAAATTATGACCTCAAGACCTGCCACAGTTATTTATAGCAATACAGAGCCATCAGTGGTTAAGAACGGTTTTCTCAACAGACAATTGCTTTGCGCTTACTAATACTGAATCAGACTTTATGGAATGTCTTGATGTTGTTGCATTCAAAAGTCGAAAGCTAGCCGATAAACAACATTATAGCACAAAGTTATGAAATTACCCACTCCTAACCAGTCCTTCCCCTTAGTATGCATGCTTAGTTGAAGAGAACCACAGAAATGAGCCTTTTGCTAAATTAGATGCTAAATACCAGATACAGTCGGGCAAGGAAGAGGTTCCACTGGTAAAGAACAGACCCTCTGCACGTGGCTCAGAGGCATCTTCTCTCTACCACATGAGGAATATGGGAAATTCAGGGTCTGAACGTGAAATGTCTTCGGAAAGCAAACAATGGCATTTCTAGGCTGAAATAAAGGTGCCCGCAGGTTTTGGAACCTGCGGCCACCTTTGGAATTCTGGCGCAGCATGGTGGGCACAGCCTAGGGTTGCCAACCTCCAGGTGGTGGCTGGAGATCTCCTGGGATTACAACTGATCTCCAGGCAACAGAGATTAGTTCACCTGGAGAAAACGGCCAATTTGGAAGGTGGACTCCAGGACATTAGACCCCACTGAACTCCCTCCCCTCCCCAATCCCTGCCCTCCTCGGGCTCCACCCCCCCCCCCCACTCCCCCGGGATTTTTCATCCAGGTATTTTTCAACCTGGAGCTGGCAGCTCTAGCACAGCCACAAAAGGACTGCTGCCTTGCTTTCCATCACAAGGAAAATCCTCGTGCTGTGGTGGCAACTGCTGCCAAAAACCGTGTTTAGAAATCTGAACAGCCAATCAAATCTCCAATGGCCAATCAGAAGCCTTGCTGAGTAAATGCTCTACATGGCCCCGCTCACCTTCTAAAAGTACTTGATGGGCACCGGGAAAGGTGTGGGCAGGCGTCATGGCACCCACAGGCACCATGTTGGGGATCCCCTGCCCTACACCCACATAGGGAGATGGAAATGGGTCAAGTGCTTTCCTCCTGATGCATGTGAAACCCCATTCCTTCTTCCTTCATCCCTCGTTGTCTCTTCTCAGCCCACCCCTTCTGGGATGGCAGGGGTCAAGAAAGAATACTTTTTTTTGTTTTTTTGCATTTTGTGTGTGTGCGCGCACCCGCCCATTCCTGGAAGTCATGGCAACCTCTGGTGACTCCTACTGGGGCACGGACGACGTTCAGAGAGGTGGCTTGATGGCCTGCCTCTGGCCTCGGTATTCTTTGGAGGTCTCCCATCCAAATACTTGCCAGGGTCGGTCCTGCTTAGCTTCCAAGATCTGACAAGATTGGGCTTGCCAGGTCAGGGCAAGAAAGAATACTTTTTCTAGATTCTACTGGAAGCAATGGTCCAGTTCTGTCTATTATAGTAGAAAGCAGAAAGTTCCAACAAAGAACCAAGTGGCATTCTACTAAACACAAAAAGGGCAGTCTCTGTCTCATGAAGTTGAAGTATGGTGTGCCAGAAGTATAATGTGCCTCTGCACTGCCAGATTTTCAGAATGCATCACCAGTCACGGCTGGCCCCAACAATTAAGGTGTACCATTTTTATTTTTTTTGCTACAGGGAGCAGGCTTATCAAGCAGAGTTCAATGGATTTCCCAAATCAAACCAGAAACCAATGAGCATGAGTTAGTCTAGTGTTTCTGTCTCTTTGCTCATTCCCACATACTGCATCCAAACCTTGCCCCTAACTCATATTTTTCTCCCTTGTTGGTGGTAACCAAGTCAGTCCACACTGACTTGTCCTCCTCCTAAGGAACTGCAAATTGGGACCACCATGCCAGTTCTTAAAAGCCTGTGACCTTCAGTATACCACATATGTCAACATTACTGGAGTTGCAAAATCTCTTTTCTGAGGGAAAAATGTGTTGTACTTACAGACAGAGTAAGACGAATCTCAACATGATTGCAGTTTTTGGACAGCCTTTTCTTTAATGCTCGGATCGCATCTTTGGGACTAAAATAAAACCAGAGAAACACATTCAATTACTTACCTAGTAACAGTAAGCGAAGGTACAAGACCCCCTACCAATGTGAACAATTCCAGCAGTGAACATAAATCCACCAGGAGTGGAACAATCTATATATGTATTTCTCAAGTGTGGGCAAATCTACAGGTACCTAAATCCATGGACTGGGCCCAAGGAGATATTCTCCAAACTTAGAGGAAATCCCAGGTTTGCAACAACAACAAAAAATCTAAAAACTTTAAAAAATACATTGGGGGGTTTAAATCCCCCAGTACAAAAGCATTCTGTTTGTGCATGCAGAGCACTTACCAGAAGGGGGCCCTGCAGGTGGTGTGGCAGTTTCTGGGGGCCCTGCCGCCAACATGGTGGCTCTGAAGGGCTCTGCTGGCTGCCCTGCTGCTGCTGCCGTGGGGGGAGAGGGAGCTGGTGGGTGGCTGGGAGAACCTTTGCTGCTGCAGGAGGGGGGAGGAGGAAGCAGGTGGGCAGCTGGGAGAGTGGCTGTTACTGCTTGCAGGGGGAAGAAGCTGGGGGGGCAGAGACCAGAGAGGCGTGCCAAGTGGGCAGGGAGCCTCCTTCTCACCACCACCCAGTCTCTGTAGCTGCCAGCTCAGCTGCTCTTTTAAAACTTTTCTCCTGGCTTCTAATCACTCAGACTTCAGGGAGAAGCCCCCCCTCCCCCCGCTCCTGTGCTGCTTCTCCCTGCAGTATGGCTGATTAGAAGACAGGAGAAAGTTATACATGGCCAGTGGAGCCAGCCACTACAGGGAGGGGAGAAGGAGCCTCCTTGCCCATTTGCATAACTTTGTAGTCGCCAGCTTAGTTGTCCTTTTTAAAAAAAACACCCACCTTTCTAATTGGTCAGACTTCAGTTGCCGCTGAAGAGGTCAAGGTTAAGAGAAAGATGAGGGGAATACTGACAGAGAAGGGCATGGGAGAAGAGAGGGGGTAAACTGCCAGAGAAGGGTGGTGGGGAGAAATATGGGAGGGGGAGGCTTATGGAGGAGGAGGAGAGAAAGAGAGGTGGGTAAGATTGTCAGGAAAGAGGAGAGAGAAAAAGAGGGGGTGGAAAATGATCGGGGGGGGGGCGAGGGAGAAAAGGCAGGGGATAGGATGCACCTTCCTGGGTCCCCACTTGTGCATTATATGTTTCAATAACAGCAAAATTCCTGCCATGGCGATAACAGGGTTGAAGGAGGATATCTGTATTGCGAGGGTCACAAAGCGGAGTTAAGAAGACCCTTGTCCAGGAGGACCATCTCACCCAGAGTATATAGAGACAGAAAGGTGCTCTGCATCCCACCGCTCCCCTCCCTGGGCAAAAGGGAAAAGCAATTATTCATTACATAGAAAAAAAATTTTAAAGAGGAAACTCTGAGACATGCTGGATGGTATGCTAAATACACTCCTGCGCCTGGTGACCTTCACCATCCCCAGCTGCGGAGAAACAACACTGCACCTATGGTGCACATCCTGATCCTGATCTTGGGCTCCATTTCTTGGTCACATTGCAGTGTGATGGAACACTGTGAACTATCTAGATAGTTTAGAACTCGGGGGGGGGGGCTGGAGGCCACTCTGCGGCAGTAACTTGCAGAGTAGAGAACAAGCTGAGCTAGGAACTGCCTCTGTGATGTGCAAATTTTTTTTACCTGGTACTTAAAAGTAAAGTAAGCATCAGGCAGGCCTCAAGGGGAGGGCACGCCAAAGGCAAGGTGCCACCATCAAAAAAGCCCTGCCTATAGTTACATCTCACCTCTGCAGGTGGTGGCACAGAAAGCAGAGCCTGAGAGAAGGATTACAGGGATCCAGTGTTCTTTTCCCTGACTAAGCTGCATACATAGACTAGATCTAAGAAGTTTCATCCTGGTCAGACATTCTTCCTGCTTTCTCTGTTCTGCACATCACTTCATAATGTTCCATTTACTTACTCTGAGAACTCATCAAGACCAATGTTTAGCATCTACAAAGGATGCAGTAGAACCCAGAGAAGATGTCTTTTATGGCATCAACCATTGCTTTTACAATAACATCAGCTGGTTTAAAAAGCAAACAGAAAGGCCTAGCCGAAAGGATGCAGTAGAACCCAGAGAAGATGTATTTTATGGCATCAATCATTGCTTTCACAATCACATCAGCTGGTTTAAACAGCAAGCAAAAAGGCCTAGCCTAAATGCTCTCTCCCATTCTCTGGAGCCAAAGCAGTAAATACAGAAAATTGCCCTATCAAAAAACCCATGGCAGATTAAGCAAGACTAGGGGTGTTAACAGCAATGTCCTGGCTCTCAGCCAGTGTTAATTACAGGATGCTTCAGAACAATCCATGCGATTTTTCAGCTTGCTTGTAGATAAACAAGTGCATTCCACCTCTTAGGTGAATGCATGGGGGGGGCATGCACCTCTTATATTTGTTTACAAATATAGGTAAAGAGTAGGGTGGAAGCAAGGGGGAAGCCGTTCTACTTAGGAACTGCTGGTTTTGTTTTTCAAGACAGCCCATAGTGTTCTGTTAACAACAGGTGGAGTGATCTTGCCTAATTCCCCTCTTCACTGCAGCATGGCTTTTTGTCCTCAAGGGTTTTCTGACCCCTGTCAACAGATTTTTATTGGTCACAGGTAGCTTCGGGGGGGGGGGGGGGGGAAAGGTCCAGTTTTGCTAGAAAAAAATCTGGGGCATAAAACGCCATATCCATATTTTTAGCTGTCCTCCCCCCCCCCCCCACACACACACATCATAAAGGCCTTTTCCTCACTGTAAGATGTTCCTTAAATAAAGTAATGCTGATTACATCCTAAATTTATGGTTTACTCTTGGGGGAAGGGGTGCTTGCATGGAAATTCTATAATATCTCATAAGTAAGTCTGCTGTCCTTGCAGAGTACTGAATTGCCTGGCAGTGCCATGGTAAAATGTTCTGAAACTTGTGGCTTACTGATCCCCCCCCCCCATTCTGAGAGGGTGAAAGATAGTATATGAATCTGAGTTGGATATTAGGAGTTTTGTAATGGAACAATGATAGAGGAACTACTATTTGGTTTAGACTAAAATGCAAACATGTTGGAATTAACAGATCTGACCTAAAGCAGCGGAGTCGATAACGAGACACTCATTGATCAATTGGCATTGTGTGTTGATTTTCTAAATATAAACACAAATGAGAAGAATTGTATGGAGTTTCATTTGCCGCATCACTATAACTATAAAAGGATGACTTTAACAGATTGGGTTTTTAAACACCCTTTCCCAAGACTTCTTCCAAAGAAAACTTCTACAATAGAGAAGACTTCCTCAGTTAGAAGACTTAGCAGAAGGAGCCAATGTAGTATTTTTGATTAAAATACTGCAAGGGAGAGGGATGAGGAAAGGCAATCCTCAGAATTGCCCCGATTATATCCCACAGTCTAAATGGTGCAGGTAATTTTTTCTGTCTCTTTCTGTATAATATCATCAACCTAATGATTGTTGTACCTTTCAAAAACCAAATTCTAACCAACTTCATGTGCTCAGGAAGAATAAGGCTCATCACATGAATGTGTTGGAAAACAAACAAACGCAGATTAAAATCTTCCCATTATCAAGAGAAGAATATTTCTACCTGTAATAGCCTTCTTCTCTACACACCAGAGAATTTAGATATATTTTCATTTTGATGAATGAGTAATTCAACTTTGTGGTCTAAGACAAATACAAACTTGTCTTGCTGGATATTGGAAGGAACCTGTTCAGTTAGGATACTGGAAGGAACCTGGCAATTACACATGTCAAATCAGTCTCAGATTTTGAAGAATCAAGAGACTACAGGGCCTGCGTATGATCAAAATAGGTCTGATTTTTCTACCCAGTGATGGGCCATTCTATATGAAATATTCAAGCAGTATCTCATCTAAAGTAAGAGGTTTCATGAAAGTTAGTAAACTTGGCAATACAAATCAGAGGTTAGAGAAACTGGTATGGGATCTGAAAGTAGGCCAACCTTTAAAACGCAAGTCAAGTGAACAAGTCAGAGAGGATAAAAAGCTATGCCATCTTCTTCAAAACAATGGAAGTGGCTGGACAGGAAAATCCAGGCAGAGTTTATATACCAACAGCATCCAGCAGCAGAGTTTCTCCTGGCCTACATCATTTCAGACTGCAAGTGGGTGGGTGGGGGTTGAATGATGGGATGCTCCTCCACAGGGGGGGGGGAACCTCCCTTTACACGGAAAATTAACACATAAAGAAGAAAGCCCAATGTCTGTCCCAGGCAAATTAGTAGAAACTGTAACCAATGATAGAATTGTTAGGCGCACAGAGGGCCAAAGCCTGCTGAGGGGAAATCAGCATGGCTTCTGAAAAGGGAAGTCCTGCTTCGCCAACCTTCTGGAGTTCTTTTAGAAAGTGAACAAGCATATAGACGATAACCTGGTAGACATTATATACCTGGACTTTCAAAAGGCTTTTGACAAGGTATCTCACCAAAGACACCTGAGCAAACTTAGCAGTCAGGACAGGTTCTCTTATGGATTATTTGTTTGTTGTTGTTGTTGTTCAGTCGCAGAGTAGTAGAGTCCGACTCTTCGCGACCCCATGGACCAGATCACACCAGGCCTTCCTGTCTTCCGCCGTTCTCAGAAGTTTGCTCAATTTCATGTTCGTTGCATCTATGACACTGTCTAACCATCTCATCCTTTGCCGTCCCCGTCCTCTTTGACCTTTAATCTTTCCCAGCATCAGGGTCTTCTCAAGTGAGTGCTCCCTTCTCATTTGGTGGCCAAAGTATTTGAGCTTCAGTTTCATTATATGGCCTTTCAGGGAACAGTCAGGGTTGATTTCTTTTAGGATTGACTGATTTGATCTTCTTGCAGTCTAAGGGACTCTCAAGAGTCTTCTCCAGCACCATAGTTCAAAAGAATCTATTCTTCGGCGCTCGGCCTTCCTTATAGTCCAACGCTCACAGCCATATATGACTACTGGGAATACCATTGC